ACAATCAAAGAATCAAGTTTTATCATCATCCTTCGGGAGGCAAGGAGAGAGAGGTTTGAGTTTAGAAAGAAATGTAATCAAGAAAAATTGCAAGAAATAAAAGCAAAAACTCAGAAGAAAAAAATTGAAACAAAATCAGCTAATCACCGAATCAAAATCCATGGAAAAGAGAAGAACCCAACTCGTGGGTTCGCCTTTTTATATCTAATTAGGCAAAGCAAAGGTAAAAATTTATTCAACCTATTTTAATAAATTTTTAATCTTTAAACAATTTATTTTTATACCTAACATTTAATTTAGTAGTTGATTTTGTTTAATCTATTAAATTTTATTTAACATGTAACACATTAATTAATATAATTATATTATTTATTAATATATTTATCTAATTTAAAACTTGATTTTATCTAAAAAATATGTGAATATGCATATGAGACTACATAGATATTTTATATAAAGTTATTATAATTTTTTGTCAATAGTTTTTAAATTAAGAGTCAACTTTTTTTCAAATAAGAGTAGACTCTTTTCCAAAAAGAGTCGACTCTCATTAATGAGAGTCGACTATACATAGCACTCAAAATATTCTCAACTCTCTGGAATTTGGGAGTCGAATGTTTACCATATATAGTCGACTCTTGAATACTCGAGAGTTGAATCTTTGTAGCTAGATTCGACTCTTTATTTAAAGGTATATATATAATGGCCTTGACCAACTATTAGTCAAAGTGGTAATATCAACCATAAGGGATATGTTGCTATGTTTGGTTGGTAAAAAGATAAAAATAACAGCAATATAGTATATGTTGCTAATACTTTAGGTGTGGTTGGAAAAGTTTTAGCAAGATAGCTCTTGTTGCTAAAGGTCACTTTCAACAAAAAGGAATATCTTGCTGAAAGTGGAGCTCAATTAGATGAGGAAATGATTGCCCGAAAATATTAACAACATGAGGTATGTTACTGAAATTCACTTTTAGCAACATACATTTTGTTGCTGAAAGTAGAACAACTTTTTAGCAGAAAAATGTACTATGTAACTTTCAACAACATGAGTCTTGTTGCTGATATAAATTTTTAACAACAAAGAATCTCATATTGCTGATATATTGTTACTGAATGCTTGAATTTTAATAGTGATGTGAGCGGGGTACAGCATGTGCGTACTATAAAGACTTGTAGTCCACTTGGTTAGAACGCATGCTTTCCAGCCTCATCCCCCTTTGTTAAAAAAAAAAAAAAAGGAAGGAAAAAACGTGTGAATGGGATTGGAGAAAGTTCTTTTCATTTTACAATTCAAAATCAATTTTTAAAAAAAATACATATTTAACCGATTGAGTCATGTCATTTGATTAATGGGACTTTTCATTCAAAACCTGATCAGAAAATATGGTCGATCTTGTGTTATGGATTAAAAAAGCCTAAACTCAGTTAATTGCCTCTTACAACTCGAATTGACGCGTCGCGCGCGCGCACATAT